ATTTTTCTGTCAATCTCTGAATATATTTATTCCTAAAATGGGATCCTCCGTCAGTAATAATCATCCTAGGCATTCCGTATCTAGTGAAATTATTTTTCATTAAAAATCTTGAAACACTTTTAGCGTCACAGCGAGGTAAAGCTTGTTCTTCAATCCATTTAGAGACGTAGTCTACTGCAATTAATATATTTAAGTTACCAAATGAAGGAATAAATGCTCCCATAAAATCTAATCCCCAAACATCAAAGATCCAAACTTCCAATATGAAATTTAGAGGCATTTCATTTCTTCTAGATATATTGCCTACTCGTTGACATCGATCACAAGTTTTTATATATCTATAAACATTTCTAAATATAGTAGGCCAATAAAATCCAGCTTGTAAAAATTTATAAGCAGTTTTATCAATCCCAAAATGTCCTCCAAATTCAGAATCATGACATTTTTGAATAATCAGTTTCGTTTCTTCATAAGACACATCTCCTCATAATCCGATCCTTACATTGTTTATATAAATAAGGCTCATCCCAAAAATATGCTTTTGCATCATGAATGAATTTCCTTTGCTGTTGTAATGTCAGCATAGGTGGCAAAATATCACTTACAATATAGTTAATAATATCAACATACCATGGCATTTTCCACACACTAACATTATAAAGCTGTTCATCAGGAAAACTGTCTGCAATTTTATTGTCAACATCAGATAGTTCATGGTTTTCTAATCTTGACAACTGATCAGTAATTTGATTATTAGTTCCCTTTTTGTCAATAACTACAAGATCAAATTCATGCATCAATAATATCCATCTAATCAGCCTTAATTTGGCATCTTTCTTTTGCATCAAATATTTAATAGCAGGGTGATCAGTGTGCACAATACATTTAGCTCCAATTAAATAAGATCGAAATTTATCTAAAGCATACACAATTGCTAGTACTCTTTTTCAGTAACAATATAGTTAATTTGTGCATCATTAAGAGTTCTACTAGTGTAGTATATAACTTTAAAAATCTCTTCATACCTTTGTCCAAGAACAGCTCCAATAGCATAATCACTAGCATCAAACATCAGTTCAAATGGTTTCTCTCAGTTAGGTGAAACTATAATAGGGGCCGTGATTAATTTTTCTTTTAATAACTCAAAGGCATTTAAACAGCTTTCAGTAAACTCAAATTTCTTTTCCTTTTCTAAAAGTTGGCATAGAGGTTTAGTAACTTTTGAGAAATCTTTAATAAAATGCCTGTAAAAACCAACATGTCCCAGAAAACTTCTAACTTCTCTTACACAGTAGGAGGTGTTAGTTTAAATATAACTTGGATTTTTTCAGGGTCCGTTTCCAGACCATTTTCCAAAATTTTATGCCCTAACACAATTCCTCCTGCAACCATAAATTGACATTTCTCCCAATTTAGAACTAAATTAGTTATTTCGCATAACTTTAAAACTTTTTCAAGATAAATTAAGCATGCGTCAAATGATGTTCCAAATACAGAGAAATCATCCATAAATACTTCCAGCCCATCGTCAATTAACTTACTAAATATGGACATCATACATAATACCTAAATTTCAATTTTTGCTTACATGCCTCTGATATCTATGCATGACAACAAGTTTTTCACATTTTAGAAGTTAAATTGGTCATATTTTTTTTATGTAAAGATTTGGGTAATATGAATAGAAAAAGGAAAAATTAGGTCTTAGTTATGCAAAAACATATGAATTGAATGGTATGCATGTACATGTGCCTTTTTAAAAATATGCCTTATAAATTTCTTTTAAAAACATCCTTTAAAAATTAAAAAAATATATATATGAGAAAACCGCCATAGCCGACACCTCGTGTGTTTTCTTAATTACTATTTCTTCAATCGCTCGGCTAGACATGGTTGCAGCTAGCGAGGGCTGAAAACCCTAAACAGCAAGCGTGGCGGCCTATCCCGAACATTTTTTACTTTAATGCCGTAATGGGCCACTGGCCCACGTATTAAATACTAAACTGCACAGAAACAAATAATTGCATTGTTTAAGAAATTTGAAGTTTATTGGGTTCTTAGAGCGTTTCTATCATTTTTATGAAAAATGTCTGAATTTACAATTATTAGCCACATGTATTATTCGTCTAAACAATCAATTTTTTATGAAAAACAAAAATTTATGTATGTCCATTTTAACCTTATTAATTATGCTGAATGCATTAGTAACTAAAATGCTAAATTTTAATGTTAATAAAAACTAGCCTAGCTTTAAGAAAACGTTAAAATAATTTAAAAAAAAAGTGGTAATTATGGGCCAAATATGTGAGAACAAGTTGTAACCAGGAGGGCAAATCTGCCAAAACACTCAACTAGTAACAGCCAATATCATACTCTATAAAGAAATTAATTGAGTAGGTGGGGAATAGGTTTTGAAGCTTTAAATTCCTTTCCGTCACCTTCCACTTAAGGAGCCCTATGAGAAATGCCAACCGAATTTATGTATACTTTGACTTAATCCCTCCGCCATGTCATATTTAATTATTAAACATGTAGCCCCGAAGAAATTATTTCATCCGAACGTTCGCACATCTAGACTACAAATCATGAGGTACTATATCATCATTCACCTAACTTGAGAACGACTTAGCACACCGTCATTTATAGTGCCGAATTTATGGCCGTGCATGCATAATTTTTTCTAATAATTTTAAGAATATTAACACACTGATGTGGTGTTACTTCATTTTTAATATGTAGATAACATTTCATAATATATGATTTTTCAAAACATTCATAATTATAAGCTATTCAATGCTTTCACTTAAATATTTTACTATTATGGGGTTAAAAGAAGGAGCTTTTTAATCTTCAAGTACAACACGCGTGATGAGCCGAAGGGGTCTATCCTTTGCTGGCACACAAGGCGCTTATTCACTGGGCAACAAAAATAAAATAATAAAAAAACTTAGAATATGGCAAACTAATAAAAATATTAATACATGAAAATAGAAAAAATGAGTGGGAATGGAGAAGAGAGGAGGGATGCGAAATTGCTTGCAGAGGGATCTGAATATATAGTCGTATATAATGGAGAAGGGAGTGCTTTTTGAAATTTTTACATTATTTTAATAAATCCAATTAGATAACGGATTAAGTGTAGATTTGGCGCAGGAGCAGAGGAGAGAGAATGAGAAGGGGAAGAGAGAGAAGGAAAAGGATGTGAGGGAGAGAGAGAGAGGGTGACGAAGGCTTTAAATAAGGGCTCATGGCCCGTGATAGAAGAGGCAAAGCAGTAGTAGTGTCTACTTCTAACGCATCTTGTATTTCTCCTTCTTCCTTCGTTGACAGAGAGAGAGAGAGAGAGAAACAGAGAGGCTATGGAGGGGAAGAAATCATTTGTTGATGATCTGTTCCCGAGAAGAGAAGCAGCGAAGTCTGATATACTCAGCTCCATATTCCCGCCACCAACAACTGTAACTTACTCTGCTTCAACCCCTGCATATGAAAGCCTGTACTCTGCTTTGTTAGATAGCTATGAATTAGATCTTTTCTTTTTTATTGTTTTTCATAAATTTTAGTTGAAAATGAAGGATTTTGAATTTTGGCATTTATGTAATTATGTTATTTCATTGTATTTATGTTCGTCGTGAAGTATCCTGTAGTATTTTCCTTTGATCTTCGTTATGTAAGAGGTTAATAAATATATATTTATTAGCATTTCTTTTCTTTTTTAGGGAGGTGGAAAGGATTCTTCTCATTCAGATTTCAATGGGACTTGGAGAAAACAGGGAGGTGAGGTTTTGATATCATGTATTGAGCTTGTTTTCTGTAGCTTTTGCTGCTTCCATACACGCTCTGTTGTGTAGCTCAGTTTTTATTTTGTTTTTTTCCTCTTTTTGCTGCTATTTGATGATGAAGTTGTTGCTAATATCGTTGCTTGGAAGGTGATTGATTTAATTGTGTTATTATTTCGGTTTTGGGACAAGGTTAGAGCAATGGAGAGCAAAAAAAAGTTTCTTTTTTATTTTTTGGCTTGAAACTGATGCATTATTCGCCTAAATATCTGATCCACTGTACATTTTTGGAGAGTGATTGCAGACAAAAATGGGATTTTTTTTTTCTTTTTTGGGCAGATAAGTTTATAAATTTTAGCTTTTCTAATTATGATGTAGCCGACTCCGGGGGTAATGATGATTATGAAGATTATGAGGTGGGATATATCAAACATGTAATAATGCATTACTTATAAAAAATATATAATCCCCACTAATAAACTCAATTTTTTGAAAGAAATTAAATTTGATTATGGGTACATTTGAACCAAATTATAAATGTTTTATTTTATCTGTCTTAAAACGTTTTTTTTCCCGACAAAATATTATCTTATTTATTAAAAATAATATTTTTTCTACTTAAGCTTTTTTTTTTCAACACAAAATTATTCATTTAATTATTTTTCCCGACAAAATATTGTCTTATTTATTAAAAATAATATTTTTTCTACTTAAGCTATCTTTTTTTCTTGTAATGTCTGTTGTCTAGCTCAGATATGTATTTGTTACATTATTTATGTCTGAAATATCCTATGTACATTTATTCGGTCGTGTACTATATATAAAAATGTACAACATTAGCTGATATAGTACTAATTTAAATATAATTATATTTTAGAAAATTAGCATTGATATAAAAAGTCTCGATTTGAATGCTTTGATTTCTTCTCTAAATTATCATTTCTTTTCTCAAATTCTATGTTTTAAGTACTTCTGCTGCTTATTTCGGAGAGTATACAGATATAAGCTCCCATTGGTTAGTAAATTTGTGATTAAATTGAAAAACATTAATATTCTTGTTGTAAAATGTAAATATAATTAATCATAGAAAGATTTACATACATACCACTCATATCCTATTTTTTGTGATATAAATGTAAAAAAATAAATTTATGTGTTGAATATTGGATGTTATTTATGTAAATAATAACCCTTAATATTTTTGATCTTTTTTTTTTTCTAAAGAGGTCTTAATCATTAATAGAGACTGGTATAGTGCTTGTCAAATTTCAATGTAGAAATTTCATGCATCTCTTATCATTTCAATTGCTTTCAGTTGATGTTGCTTATGCTGAAAACTTTGTGCCGTTAACAAATAAACTATTGACAAACTTGGGTCAAAGTCAAGTTTGATTTGCACAAGTTTTATATGGTCATTACTTTTAAAAAGAAAATATTCTAGAATTTATTAGTTAATTTCTTACAAAAATTTTAAAATAAATCTGATGACTATAATTTTACACGAAGAAAGAAAAATGAAATAAAATAAAATAAGGGGGTTCTTATGCATTTATCGATCTCACACCTTAACTTTCATTTTTACAAACCAACCATCATCATCCAACTTGCCTTTTTCACCATTCTCCACACTTTCAGCCATAGATTGGGTGCTGATTTTGTAAAAATGAGAATTTGGATGTGGGATAGGTGAATGCATAAGAATTGGGCGTGTATATAAATTTCTAGTACAAATAATAAAAACAGAGATGTAATTTATTATTTCAAAAATCTGAAAAGTAAAAACTTGCAAAATAATTTCTTTTTACAGAAGGAAATAGCCGTGGAAGCCCAAGCAAAAACCAGAGCTCGGGCAAGAAGTACAGCAACCCAGTCTATCTTTATGAACTACAAGAACCCTGTCTTATGAGCTCCTCTGTGTATTACGGTGGACGGGATGACTTCATTCCAGAATCTTCCACCTCCAATAATTCCTCAACCTATTTTAATGTAAGTGAAAATTTTGATTAAATTTTTAATTTTTTTATTCGAGTATTAAAACATCAGATTATATATCCATTGAGGGAGTGTGCCTGAAATTATATGCAGTGCAAAGCGGATAAGGAGGATGATTCAGCCGATACAGATGTCGCGACGAGAGGGGATTGGTGGCAAGGTAAGATTACTAGTTTTTTGAGGGAATTTGTCCGATGCTTATATTTAATTCATTTAGCTCGTTTTCTTATTGCTATTTTATTTTCAGGTTCGTTTTACTACTGAAGATATTTTCAGCGTCTGTGTTACAATAGTTTAATCCATAACAGGTATTTTTTATATGCATTTACCCATTCAAATCTATGAATAAGATTTCAGTATAAAGCCACGCAGTCAGTTTTGTAGAAATTAATAAGATTATATATATATATATATATATCATTGTTATGTTGTTAATAGTATGTCTACATATTTAAGATGTAGGCAATTTGATAAAAAAATAAGCATAAGTCATCAAATAAAATTTTTAAATGAATATTTTAAACTACTCAGAACTTATGGCGAAAGCACAACACAACTTGGAATTCATATATAAAATCAAAGCCATACAAACTATAATAAGTATATAACTTATCTATAAATTTCTCCCCAAGAACACTTCTCGAAGTTCCTCTAAATCTCTTCCTTTCTTTACAGCACACAGAATTCCTCCTGGAAGTAGCAAGGAGGAAGAAATCTCTCACTTTCCTTCCTCTCTTACAATTTCTTGAAGAATTCCTCACAGTTATACGCTCTAGCAAGCTTTCTAAGAACTAATGGATCCTTTCTTACCTCCAGGAATCCAAAAGTCTCTCTTCCTATATCTTCCAAAAGCTTACAATTTTTGGCCAAAATGTTCTCTTTAAAGATGTGGATGAGTTTTCCCAAGAGTTGCTTATGCACCCCTCCAAAATTCGGCCTTATCCATTGTACATGTCACATAACCGTC